CCTTACTTTGAAAACTCCAGTCAAATAATTGCTACATATGTATTAATAAAGTTGAGATCCATAAGTCTAATAATCTCTGTCTTAAACATTTCTGGGAATTGATGTTTCTTGCAACATACCTTATTTTCAGGGATACTGTGAAGAGCGGGATAGAAATTTATCTTATTTGGAGGAAACTCTGTACACCAAAATGTAGTTAACTGGGAATTGCTGCTGAAGATGGATTGTTAGTTGGCTCTGACCTCGGGGCTATTATAGGCTCTGACCTCTATTATATCAATGAGACGATCTTCTGAGAACATGGCTTACTCAAAGGCTTTACCATGAATAGACTATTAATTTACTTCACACACACTCTTGATGAGTCAGAAAAGTGAGTGTGATGGCTCTCGATGGTGGTCCTTAATGCATCACAAGTGTTTTGACAGCTAGCCATGATCCACATTACCCAGAGCTTTGCTCCCTGGACAGCCATACTTTTGCTATTACAGTACTACTCTATTTATTTAGCAAAGACTAGCTATATAACAGAACTGTTTTTCCCTCATGGACTTCATTGCCTTTTAGAAAATCTGTGGTGGGGCTTTATGAAGGATTGAAGTAGTGTGTATGAAGTGAAAATAATGCATGATCTTATCATTAGCATGTAAGCAACATGAGCAGAAGATTGATGATCAAAGGTATTTCAGGTACATCAACACTCCAGAGTCTCTTTCAAGAGTTTGACTGATACTAATGATTCCAGATTTCCCTCATCTTTCCTGTTAAATCCTCTCCCCCACTTCCTATCATTTCCCAAGTCCTGTCCCTATTTTTCCCAATTTATCACCTCCTTTTCCAACTTCAAATCTTTTCTCTTTTAAGTTTTTTCCCTGCTATTCAGTTTTTGCTAACATGCTTTGCAAATACATCCTACCTCGCCTTTCTCCTACAAATATTTTGTTTCTTTTGTATTTAATAAATTGCTTCCCCCATGCCTTCTTTCTTTCATTCTTTTGGAAGAACACAGATAAAATTAAAAGTTTTTTACTACTTTTAAATCCTTGGAACTTACAAAAATTCCATTTCTCTTTTTTGCTTTTGGTTTCCTTTGAATTTTTTTTAATTATAAATAATTATTATTGTCCTTTGTGTTTCCCTTGCCTTCCTACCCTCTAATCCACCCTGATGTGGCTGTTGCTTTAATTACTTTCCCATTCATTTATTTTTATTCCTTGCCTCCCTCCCCCCTCCCTCCCTTGTCTCTGTGTCACCCAAACCTCACCCCGACCCATTTTCAATCCGGCCCCCTTTTCCTCCTGTCTCTTCTTGGTTGATTTTCCTTGTATATTTTTTCTTTTTGATTTCCTTTGTTTCAATTTTCGTGTAGGGCAGTAGTTCCGTAAGTGGGAGTCCAGTCCTCTCAACGTCTGGCACCAGCACTCCGAGGCGAGGACGCCGCCAGCTCCCACAGACCCCTTCTACACCCCGGCCACATATCTCCTACTCCCCCGTGGTCCGTAAGGCCATCAACACAGGGGGCCAGCAGCAACCACCGTCGGTGCACCCCAGCCGAATAGCCAGCCCAGCCCCTCGGCGCTATCCCTCGCTGCCTGCCGAGCACCACGTCTCCGAGCGGCGCAGCAGGTCTCCGGCTATAGAGCGACACACTGTCCCGCCGCGAAATGATTCGCCTCGCAGCTACCGCCATGCCAGCAGCCGGTGGTCGGCGCCACAAGTTTCTGAGCCCCCGCCGGGGCCTCGCCACGGCAGCGGTTACCACCGGAGTCGGGACTACGGCAGCCCCTCCGGCGAGGAAGTCTTTCCTTACGAGGCCATGCAGCAGCAGCAGCAGCAGCAGCCGCCACAGGGGAGCAGCTCAGGACGTTCGCCCAGAACTTCCCGGGTGGGCGGCGGTGGCGGCGGCTCGTCCTCTCTCTCCCCTTACAGACACGGGCGACGGCTCCCCAATGGATACTATCATTCACACGGACCAGCCAAGTCGCGCGGGACAGGGTCACGCAAAGGACTGCACGAACCTTACAGCGAAACTGACGAGGACGACTGCTGCTAACCTACAAGTGGCTTCACCTTACACGTGCGCGCACGCGCCACACACGCACTCCACACACATACCCCGAAGGGAGATTTCCCCAGGTTGGGGGGGGGAAGGCGAGAGGAAGACGGAAAAGCAAAACGAACTGCCAAGCCGATTGCGGAAGGTATCCCGGAGGAGAACCCTGCAATTGTGGAGGGGGGGAGGGAGGGAAACTTTTTATCTTTTGTTGGGGGAATCTGGGGTCGGGAGGGAGCAAGGGTCTGGGGATTGGGGGGGGAGGCTAGGGAAGCGAGGGGTCTGGGAGATCAGAGCATGCTTATCTTTTACAGATCAAGTTGTGTGTGGTGAGTGATTTGAGGGTGGGAGGGAGGGGCGTCACTCAAAATTTACAAAAGAAAACGCACTCAGGTGTGGGGGGAGATTGGGGCCGCCCGAAAGCCCCGGGCTTCACCTAACTCTGCCTCTGCGAAGCAAAACCAGAAGCTGCTTTTCCCTGAGGCAGATGGAGAGGCAGGAAGAGTCTTGTCAGCAAAGACATTCTGGAAATGTTTAAGAAACAAAAAGAAACCTTTTAAAAAGATGCAAAAGTAAACAAAAAGACAACCCTGGGCTTCTATTGATGAGTTTTATCATCTCAATTTACCTGATTAACTTAATGTTTTAAAAAAAAAGTTTGTGACCTGATATTTTAAGAGGGTGATATGCACACAAATACACATCCCCAACACACGCATATATCACACACACACACACACACACAGAGTGAGAGAGAGAGAGAGGAGTGCTTGCTGGTTATACCAAACCCTAATATTACTGCCTGCAGAGATAATAAAAAAAGAAATACAACAAAAAAACAAAAAAGGACAAAAATAATTGATAAAAATTAAGCATTTTCTTCTGATATTTTGGTCCTGCTTGACAAAGAAATGACATCAAAATAATAATTCCTCAGCTTCTTTATTTCTTTTTTCCTACTTGTTTGGAAAAAAAAGTTGAAAAAAACCTGTGGGATTGGGACTGTGAAATATTGCATGAAACAAAGTAAAAAGACAAATGAAAAAAATCTCTAAAATCCTTTAAAAAAAACAAAAATATTAAAAATGAATTTTTGATTGAAATGTGCTTTATTGTTAATTTCCCCATACTTGATTCTCATTCCTCCTCTCACCCCTTCTTATGATGATCTACTGCTGTATGAAAGGATATGTATTGGAATGCATGATTGATAATCATTGTTCTTTTGCTGCTTTCTAAGATGAAAAAGTATGATCAAGTTGTTAAGCAGAAGTTGGTCAATGAAAATCCTTGAATTAGATACTCTTTTTAAAATATCTATATCTATATATAACAATTCCCTCATTTGTCTATATATTAACACTTACCCACAACAAGTTTGGATATCAACTTTATCATGCCAAACTCTGGCAGACTCCTAAATACAGTGAAACCTCGTTTTATCTGAGGGGTGCCCTCATTTATGAATGCCCATTAAATAAGAAATGATGTAATTTGTGTCATTTTATATCGTTTGCATGACTTTTTATTGCAATGTTCTTTAAAGTACATAAAAATGGACAAAATATTTTTTAACAAATGGAAATATATACTGACTGGTCCAACAGATAATCTAATTAAGTTATATTACAAATATAATGCCACTTGCACGATGATATCAAGCAAATTACCTAAATCACTAAGGAAATTTGGTCTGCTGCATGTGAAGTCTCCTGCATGGGCCTCACCTTGGTTCAGTAAATCGAGATTTCACTGTATATTTTTATTCCCTCCCTGAAGCCTTTAGAATCAGTATCAGCATCCAGATTATTGTTTGAAGGTTCAGAGAATGACTAGGTATATAGGCAAGGATAGATGAATGAAATTCACTACTAAACATATAATCAGAGAGTACTCACATGGCTCTAATTGTTGTATCAAACCAATATTTTTACATTAGGATTGATCAACATTAGTCTACAAAAAATCAAAATCTAATACAATCCCATTTATCGTATGTCAACAGTTTTATTTTACATGGTATGTGGTGGCCAATGGATATTTACTATAGTGTGAATATGTGTACACATGTATATATGCAAATCAAGGCCTATCATGATTTTGTGGTATGTTTATTTGTAGGATTGCACAATGATCTTGAAGGAGAAATGATTAATGTGCTTGTGTAGGAACCTAGGGAAAAATTTTTTTCTTTAAAATGTTCCATAAGATGTGACATAAGCATTCACATGCATTCCCACTCATTTTTCCTTTTGAATACACATCCCCACATACCTACTTCAAACCAGTATGGTTCACATATAAGCATTGCACTTATTTACATATATACTGCAGTTCCTGATTATGAGGCAATTGTCACAGTATGGCACAGTGTATTGCTAGTCTTAAATACTTTTACAAGAATAGCACCTCAATGACAAGAAATGTTAATGGCGTTGAAACAACAGTTGATGTAAACTAGGGAACATCAAGTGGAACTACAAAATTACCAATACAGCAAGCATTGGAATTAAGGGATGTTATCATTGTGGTCAGAATTACAACTAAAGATCAACTCCCAACAAGACTAAAAGACAATCTAGCCTCTAGCATGTCAGTATTTTAAATTTTTAAAAAAACCTTTTTATGCAATACTTTTGTAATCTAACAAGAGGGATGTATCTCAGGAGTCCCAACTACACTGAGTTGAAAATAAATGCAGTGTATGCATTACTATCTATATCACTGTTAAATAAAAAACAGGAATGGTTTTACATGGCACATGGAAGAAAAATAGAACCAGTAACTTGGTACGATAGCTATAGAGTTCTGAACTATCTTTTAAGACTTTCAGGTCACATACAATTAAGATGCTGTTATGGCAACCACATAATTCTTCAGCACATTCCTATCTTGTAAATCACTGTAATGCTTACCGATTCTGGAATATCTGTCTAAACATGAGTTGCAATCTGTACACATGTTGAAACAAGAGCAAATCCATTTCCAAAATTATTAATCCATTTGTCAATATTCCAAAATTGCTCAATTGAAAATAATATCATTAACAACCACCTCACTATCAAAACGGATGTCAAAACTGATGTAAAGAAAGCTGTATTATATCATAACTCCGCATCAAGGTCAGTGCTACAAATCAAAAATGAGTAAGCGAACTTGGCTGGAAAGTACACACCTGTTGTCTCCAGAAGATAAGGCACGGGCATGAGTTATCAGACTCTTCTATAAAAAAACCAACTTCCAAATGGATACCTCTTAAATGCTATACAATTATTTTTTAAATAAATCATATATTGAAAATATGAAAAATGTCTTGGAATTAGTGCAGATGCAAATCACCATAATCTTATGTCCACCTAAGCCCAATGACCTTAGCAGACAACCTTGATCATGTATTTGAGTACTGTAAAACAGGGGTCTCCAACCTTGGCCATTTTTAAGACTTGTGGACTTCAACTCCCAAGCTAGCTGGGGAATTCTGGGACTGTAGTCCACAAGTCTTGCATTATTGGGTTTTTTTTCCTAGACATAAATGCCCACTTAGGAGCATGATTTTAATGTTTTTAAGTTATGGATTACTGTTTGTATCCTATCAATTTATTAAGGTGTTAATAAGATACTCTTAATGAGGAAGTATTGTTAATAAGGAAGAATTTCCCCCAGATAATTTCCTTTGAGTCATCTTAGATTAACTGGGAATAGGAAAAAAAGAATTTTTTTCTATCAGATGGAGGAGGTTGGGGGGCAAGGAATTGTATTAAATTTTAGATCCATGCATTTGGGTAAATTTAGTAAGAAACCTGTATGTTTTCATTTTCATAACATTAACATTTAGAAAGATAAACTTTTTTGTTTGCTTCTCAACTATTATTCTATCTTGATTTTCATCCAATAAGCTATAGAATTGCAGCTTATTTTCATGTACTTTATATAGTGAAAAATGAGGAACAACAAAAACTAGCTGGTTGTAAATACCTGTAGTAAAGTGTATCCGGTGTCACTTGTAGTTTCATGATGTAAATGTAATTAGATATTAAGTGGATTAGATATATAAAAACATGTCCTGCTATTCTTTAAATTATGTAGGTTACTGACCTAAATTGCTCTGAATTAATTATACAAATTAGTTACTATAAAATGAGAGTAACGAAAATATATCCATCAATATGGAACATGACAGAAATAACTGTTTCATTTACAGCACTAAATGCTGTACTCAGATAGAGGGAATATTCTAAACAAGGACCTGTGAAAAGGGTTCTCCGAGAGCAGAAATCATAACCAGTTAATCTCTGGTCAAGTAAAGCTGAACTCCTTTGGATTTTGTGGACTTTTCATATAATTTTCTTGAAAACAATACTTTGTCATTATACTTTTTTAGGTTTCTTTAAATTTCTAGTCCTGGAATTTAAATTTCTAGCCTAGTTATGTAATTATCTAGAAATCTCCTATCCAGATAGTAAGTAGGATTACTCTGCTGATGTAGGAGATGACCAAGCTGAGCCTGAGGGAGGGGTCAAATACATCATAAGTCACGAGTCCCTGAAATAAACAAAATGTTAAAATGTTATATTTATGTAATTACTTACCAGACACATCCAAATTATATTAAAGTAACCAAAATATCTTTACAATCCCTAAGGCATGTCATAACCTTTGAGCACCCCTAATGTTTGGAAATTGAAAGCTGAAAAATTTGACACGCCCTACAAGTGCGCACCAGCAAGAGATCCAAGTCCAGCCCACCATGAATGCCTTTATCTCCCGCTCAGTTTTCTTTGACCATTACTTGGTCAGATTCTTCTAGAGCTTAAGCTTGCAATAAATCTTTATACTCATTTGAACTGCCTGAATCTCCTGATTTCCCCAGAACCTGACATTGCCACCTGCCAAGACATCTTTAAAGTGTTTATCAGTAAAACAGTCTCTAAGCACAGCCCCCCAAAATTGTGCAAAACAGGAAAACATTTGTTTAAAGTTATAGCCATCAGTCTAGTGCTCTGCTCAAAGAAAAATGTTTCATTGAAGTTTTTTTTCCTTTAAGATTCTGCCAATGCAAAGAATATATTATACTTTGTAAATAAATTATTGAACTTCTAGAAGATACTTTTAATTTTGATTATTGATATGAAAAGCCAGTTAATAAAAAAGCTATTACAAAAGTAGTTTTCAAATGTCCCCAAACATTCCCCATTTCCTGTGATGGCAAGTCAAAGGGCAGCCATAACATTGACCACACGATTCATCTTTTAGAAGTTCAATGCTATTTCTTTATATTCATCGCAAAACCAATACTTTTCTGCCTCATGCAGCAGATCTAATATCAATATTCTCCCTCTTAAGGCAATATCCTCTGCTAGCCATCTTTCTGTAAATTCAGAATGCAATTTTCTTCCACATAAATGCAATCAATCAGGTTTCAAGCATTTTCTCTCAATGTATGAAAAGTCTGGCAATAGGAAACACCATCCTTGCAATCTTGAACACAGTAATTATGCTTTTGATTTTTGACAAACCTAAGTCCATGAACAGGTAATTTAATTCTGATTGTTATGAGGTTCATCAGACATACACAGTTCAAAATCTGGGTCATTGTCACTGCCTGCTGGTACATTGCAACTTTTTCATCTGTTTTTGTTTAGGCTCCATTTCTGTGATGGCTTTGGTACTAGCAGACTCTCATCATGTGGCACTGGTCTCATGGGTGAAGGCAGTTTGGGGTATTAATTGATTTCTTAATTTTGGAAAAGAAACCAGTGACATTAGCCAGACATAAGTCTATCACATGACGATTCTGGCCTGATCATCGGGACAGCAAACGATGTTCACTTCTGAGTTCCTCTGAGCCAAGTTCTAAGCTCACATCTTGCACAACAAATACGTTTTACTCTCTTAAATGCAATCAAATTCAGGTTTAGCGGATTTTCTCTCAAATTTATGAGAAGTCTGTGCCTGCCCAGAAGCTGAAGCTCATGTTCAGTTGAACCACAACTTTCTGAATTATCCCATTGTTGGGTGAGAATCCTAAAACGCAGTGAATAACTAACCGGTGGCCGGGACCTCTTTCACAGGAACAAGCAGGCCTCTCAAAGGCAAGAGCTAGAGCCTGAAGAGGCCCTTCCATCTAGTCGCGAAGAGGTCGGTAAGCAAAACAAGAGCCCTAAAGCAGAGGTCTCCAACCTTGACCACTTGAAAACTTGTGAACTTCCAACTCCCAAAATTCCTCAGCCAGCTTTGCCGTAATCCCATACGGCACGCAAATTCTAACTGGCAAAGGTTTGCTGGCTGAGGAATTCTGGGAGTTGAAGTCCACAAGTCTTGAAGAGGCCAAGGTTGGAGACCCCTGCCCTAAGAATGGGGGAGGGGGGAAGCAAAATAGCAGCCGAGCTTCTTCAACTGGCTGGCTGGCTGGGGAAAAAGCCACGAAGAGCCCTCTCCCTCTCAGGCCTTCTGGTTATTAAAAACGAATTGGCGAGTGCCCGGGGGACAGAGAAGGGCGCAAGGCATATGTGTGCGTGTGAGGGGAGGGGGAGAATTTTCATAGCAAGGTAGGCCCAGCCAAGACCGGCTCCTAGGTCCCGGAATGGTGGGCCCGAAAAGGAGAATCTGAAAGCGGAGCTCCGAAGGCCAAGGCCGCCAATTCCGCTCAAGCAACCACTTGAGCGCTGAGGTACGCCCCTCCCAGTTCCTCACAAGCCCCGCAGAGCCGACGACAGAGACCCCTTTTGAATCTCCCCGCCTCCCTACGTAAAAAGGATAATTTCTATCCGCCCATTCCACCTTCTTGACGCTTATAGGCTAGCGGCGCAGTCTGTTACAATAGCGGACGCCCCTAGCGTCCGTCAGCCAATTAAAACCGGCAGGCGAGTCCCGTATGGCACGCAAATTCTAACTGGCAAAGGAGTCCCGCCCCAAGCGGTTTCTTTTGGTTTCAGTTTTAGCCACACACCCCACCCGCGAGACATATAGGAAGCACTGAGCCGCATGTCACGTGAGCTCTGGTCATATGATCATCGCAATCAGGATGAGCTGTTGGAAAGGAGTCGGGACGATGGGGTTTCACGTAGCTTTGGTGTTTTTCCTTGGGGGAGCGGTGCTGGGGGGATCTGCGGTCAGATGCGGCTATCAGGTAAAGATTCAGTGGAAACTGAGGGGAAATCGGTTAAAAGTCTGTTGTCAAAAGTCTGAGCTGATAAATAATGGGTGGGATAGTGGGTAGCTGCATAGATAAGGTTCGGTATAATTTAGAATAAAAAGATGGGACTCTGATATGGAGCGCAAGATCAGAGAAATAGTCGGTAATCTTCCGCAGGACACAACAGAAGAATTAATTCAAAGTTAAGGATCTGCATATTAGAGCTGTATAATACACCCCCATATTAGGAAGGAATAACAATTTGAAAAAATGCATCAGTGCAACGTGTGAGAGATGAAGAAACATGTAATAACATGTAATAAGAAATTACAAAAATTGGCAACAAGAAGACAAGCAGCAGAGACCACAACCAGTGACAAAGAATAGAATAATAGAATTGTATTGTATTGTATTCTTTATTGGCCGAGTGTGATTGGATACACAAGAAATTTGTCTTTGATGTATATGCTCTCAGTGTACATAAGGAGAATAAAATACATTCATCAAGAATAAAAAAATACAACACTTAGTGATAGTCAAGGTTACTAATAAGCTATCAAATCGTATTAGGAAACAAAAATGAAATAAATTGAAAGATACAAGCAATATGGTTATAGTAATAAGTTGGAAGAGATAGATACCAGTAAGGAAAAGAAGAAGAATAGTAATGTAGTCTTAGTAAATTATTTGACAGTGCTGTGGGAATTGGTTGTTAAGCAGAGTGATGGCATTCGGGGGAAAAACTGTCCTTGTGTCTAGTTGTTCTGGTGTGCAGTGCCCTATAGTGTCGTTTTGAGGGCAGAACTTGAAACTATTTATGTCCAGGATATGAGAGGTCTATAGATATTTTCACAGCCCTTTTTTTATTCATGCAGTATACAGGTCCTCAATGGAAGGCAGTTTGATAGCAATTGTTTTTTCTGCAGTTCTAATTATCCGTTGAAGTCTGTGTTTGTCTTGTTTTTGTTGAAGTCTGTGTTTGTCTTGTCAAAGGTCAGCTTAAAGCTTAAGCAAGATATACGGGTAACTCCATAGGGCCAGAATGAGTCATAAGCACAGTGATCAGCAGAAGTAGCCTGCAGTACTGCACTCTAACCATTGCGCTACCATGGCTCAAAACATTAGGGTTCTTTCCTGTTGCATAACAATTCATTGAGAATATCAAAAGTTTGTTTTCTTTTTCAAGTAGACAGAAGTGCATGGTTCAGATTTGGCTGTCAAATTGTCCTTTTGGAACTGTCCCCAACAAAGCCTACCTCAATAAAGCTTGAACGTTCCAGCAAGGTATCTCTGAATATTCAGTGCCTTTCTTGAATATAGAGCTTTTCCTCAAAAAAGAACTGAAGTGCTCTCCATCCAGCCTTGACGTCACATAAAAACTATACTGGCCTGAAATTGGCTGTCTCATTGCCGATCCCTATTCCACCTTTTTTTTCCTTTATTCAAATGACTATAGTTACCTAACACCCCTCCAAGATAATGATTTTACACATTCAGCTAAGGGAGACAAGGTTTCCTGAAGGAGATGAAGAGAAAGCAAGATTATGGAGACGTGGCATTAAAAAAAATCTTTGGCACATGTCTATAGATAGGTGCAAACAGGGAAAGCCCATAGTTTCGCCACAAGTTTGCGTTTCAGTGCCATATATGTTGGAAGCTATTGTCATATTTTGTGGCAGTAAATAATGAGACTGGGGGAGGATATGCATGCAGGCAGGCATGACTAAAAAGAAGTGGCAGCGTGATATTGTCTCCCAATTCTATTTCCAGAATTTTTCTGATGAAATCTGCTAACCTCTTTATTCTTTCCTTATTATGTAAATTGTCTAGATGATTAAGGATCCCTATAGCTATACCACAGTGACTTGTGGAAGGAGTTGCAAATTTCAGTGGACCAAAGAATGATATCCAGTGGTGAAATTAATTTTTTTTTACTACTGGTTCTGTGGGTGTGGCTTGGTGCGCATGGCAGGGGAAGGATACTGCAAAATCTCCATTCCCACCCCACTCTGGGGAGAACCAGAGGTGGTATTTGCTGGTTCTCTGAACTACTCAAAAATTCTGCTACCGGTTCTCCAGAACCTGTCAGAACCTGCTGAATATCACCCCTGATGATATCCCTTAGAAAAGGAGAGGCAGTCAGTTTTTCAATAAAACTGGCCAGTACTTTGCTGCTTTGTTTTTTCTGTTTCCATATGCTTCTCTTAATCTGTAGATCTGGCAATTTCATTCTAGGCAACAAATCCTTCTAATCTCCAGGTTCTGAGAAACTGCTTTATTGAAGGTCACCTGGCTCATTTACTGCATTCTGGCTTAGAGTTCACCTGCATCTGATTGTCTATTTTTAATGTTCCTGCCCTTGACACATCCTGAGTCTTTTGCTACCATCTGCACAGGATGTCATAAACTAGACTTTCCCATCTGATGATCTCTAGTATGTTACCGTGTGTCCTGAAAATACAACCTACCCTAGTCCAATTTCACGCCTGTGCCTAAAATAAGCCCCACCCAAAAATAAGCCCTGCTTAAGCCCCATCCCTCATCTGGTTGTACAAGGTAGGGGGAAGCACAGGTGTAAAAATCAGGTTAGGTGGGGGGATGGAGTTGCCCCACACTCCCCACACACACTTACCTTAGAACTGCCACAGCCAGGCCTCCCATTCCCCCACACCTGTCACATCGCTGCCCGGCTTCTGCGGCCAGATGCCAGAAGGCTTGTAGTGCTCGTGCTGCTGCTTGCTGCAGGATACTGCAAGGCTTGTTGCACTGGTGCCACTGCTCTTGCATGCAATGGCACGACACACCATGCAGTATCCTGCCACCAGCAGCAGCAGCAGCGCAACAAGGCTCATGCCGTCCTGCCACAAGTGGCTCCACCAACACGAAGAACCTCAGAGTTCTGCCATGAACAGTGGCGTGGCAGGTATCTGGGCATGGGGTGCATGGTTGCGGTGGTCCTAAGGTAAGCGGGCAAGACATCCCCTGAAAATAAGACCTGGTGCTTATTTTGGAGGCTAAAAGAAGACTGGGTCTTAGTTTTGGGGAAACATGGTAAACCAAGCTTGAGGGTGGCACTTGCTTGGGAAAATCTCATGTGCAACAGATAAAAAGGCATTTTGGCAAATTGTTCACAATGGGAATTTTGTGGTAGCTTGACCTTTCCCAATCTGATGCTCTCGGGTTGTATTTCACTACTCATAATCTCTAGCAGCATAACTAATGCTGGCTGGGGATGTTGGAAGTTATGGTCAATCCCATCTGGAGAGCACCTGATTTGGAAAGCTGAAATTAACTCCAGCCAAACTCTGTGTTCTTGTCAAGGCCAAGTTGCATTTCAGCAGCAACAGCACGGGCCATTGTGGAAGTCTTGAGTTTGCATTTCCTTATTGCCCCTGGAAATCTAATAACATTTTGTGGTCTTCAGCTGAAGCAGTGGAAACCTTGAGCAACCATAATAGAGCCTTATAAGCATTGATGAAATACCAATAAATGGGCGCCTTACTTTTCTTTGGGCTCCATGTTGTTTGGGGCTGTCCAGTGTATTATTAGATAAGCTGTGCCAAGTACATTTGGGGCAGTTTTTTTCCTCTTCTTCATCCAGATACATTATACGTCCTAGGTCAAATTGTAAAAAATGCTTGATTTGTGGCAGACAGACTTAACCTTCAGAAGGATCAGCTTAAGCCTAATGCCACCAGCAGTCCAGATGCCCTATACATCAGTTAGGATTGAATGGTCTTAAGTAAAAATTGGCAATACATTTCAATCTCCTTTCCTTTTGAATGCTTTATGCCTTCTCTCCCACCACACTTCCTCCTGCCTATAATTATCCTTTCCTCTATGTAAGTTCCCCTTAGCTCTCCTCTCCCAGCCAGCCTAGATGTGTCAGCAATATACCACATGTTTAATCACACTTCACTCTTCCAACTTCATACCAACACTTGTACAACTTTTGATTGACTTCTTCCAATCAACATATCATCCTTTCAATGTGCCCACATCTAGTTTACTGTGTCCTTGTTTCCTCTTAATTTCCAGCACCTGGCTGCAAACTCTTTTCTGCCACCACTTCTCTACTCTCTGCCTTTCCCTCACAGAGGAGGACCAGTCTTCCTTCTTTCTCACCTCTTTTCCAGGAACTCTTCCATTCCTCTAGAGCTTTACAAATACCTCCAGGACAAAGTCGGAATGAAAGCAGTCTTCCTCTGGGAAAGTCACCTTGTGTCTTCTATGGTTGGTACCATTTATAAATTTCCATTTCTTCAACCCTGCTTCTTTCTTTCTCTTTATTCCTTTTTGTTTTCGGTGCCTGCTTATTTCTGTTTTTTTTCTTCCCGTTACCTGCCTCATCTTTCTCCTTTTAACCAGAGAATCCTAATATCTATTCTGTCACCATGCTGTTGCCATCTCATCTCCACCACTCCTCAGTAAATCTTTACTGCAGACAGCTGGATGGAGAAAGATTTAACAATTAACATCCTGCATAGGGCACATAACCCTCAACTTGCAGTCTCTCCAGGAAGCAACTCCCCTGATGAGGTATAACTTCTACAGGTTTCGTCTGCTTTCTCCTCTCTCTTCTGCCTGTCCAGTTGAATCTCCTCTCCCCACCCCCACTCTTTCTGTCCAAATCCCAATTTCTTTCTCTACCAACTCTCCTTTGTCTCATCTTCCAATCTCACCACAGTTTGCCATAATACAATAGCCAAAATAATAGTAAATGATTTCCCATTTAGGACAATAAGAGCATAACTTAAGTCAGAAACAAATTCCATAGTTTAGAGGGGCTGGGTTGCTATACAGTAAACCACGACGTGTCCAATCCTGTTTATAGGTTAATAAAGCCTGCTGGGCAAGTCCACCTGGAGAAGTTTGAAATTATAATAGCAGAATGAGAACTCGGATCTTGTTTCTGTAGCCACTTAGAAAGTAGCTTCTGCTTTTATTATCCTACATCTTCTTCGAGCTGGGGGAGGGGGTGTTAATGGGTATGAAGCATTTTGCTCTTTAGGATATTTGTATTTTTTGTTCCCATATGTACCCTCTATCCAGGGGTGGGTTTCTCGCCCCGTTCCAACCGGTTCGGTTGGAACGAGGCCGGCGGCGTCCTCGCGCACGGGCGCGGCGCGCGCGTGCGTACTAGCATCTGTGCGGTGCTCCAGCTGCTCCTGGAGGATCGCACAGGCGCTGTATGCGTCCTGCGCATGCGTGGAAGCGCAGAATTCGGCAAAACCGGGTAAGGAGCGGGCACGCGGGCGGGGGCCTTCGCCGTTCCCGGAAGTTACTTACTTCCGGGTTCGGCGACCAACCGAATCGCAGGGACCGCCGCGAACCGGTTGAAACCCACCCCTGCCTCTATCCCCAAGCAACTTCTTCCCCCAAACCCCATTTGCTATCTGGGGCAGGTGGAAGTTGGGATTTGGATGTGTCAGGTCTAGATTCTCCTAAAATCTCTCCTGCTCTCCAAACTTTGCATTCAAGTGTGTTTTCCCGAAAATAAGACAAGGTTTTATTTTCTTTTGAACCCCGAAATAAGCACTTGGCCTTATCTTCGGGGAGGTCTTATTATTTTTGTGGTGCAGGACGCAGCGAGCGTGGTCACCTCATGGATGCTGCAGTGTTGCAAAATTTTCAGGGGAGGGTTTATTTTCAGGGGAGGGTTTATTTTAGCGCATGCACTCAAAAGCCTGATTGGGCTTATTATGCGGGGAGGTTTTCAGGGAAACAGGGTACGTTCAGGAGTACTGTACAGTACTTTAAAAAAAATTGAAGACACAATGTTTTAGGTTTGCTGAGTTATTTAATGATTTTGAAAATTATCAATTTTTTCCCACTGCATCCTCTATCTACTTTGTAACTACTGTATTGTTAATTATTATGAAAGTCTTGTGCTGAAACAATAGATGGTAACAATAGTTCTTGTTTTTCCTTGTCTGGAAATATTTTGAATTAGGCTTAGAAACACCCAGCAAAGTGCCCTGGTCCCAGCAATTGTGAGCCAGCCTTTTATATTTTTTGGAATATTTAGCCTGATATTGGTAGGTGGTCAAACATACTTAGCAAACTATAATATTTCCCTCAGCCCTAAATTTGGTAGTGGTTCTTCCAGCAAGTGATGATTTTATTCTACCCCTACCCCTTTCAGCAGGGGTAGCCTCCAAGCAACCAACTGGTCTCCAAAGCAGGGTTGGTCCTGATCATTCTTGGATGGGCCTTCCCCTCCCTTGGGAATACTAGAACTGTTGCCTGGGTTGGGAAGTCCAAAGAGCATCATAAAATATGGCAGTGGCCAATTACTTCTTTCCTTTTGCCACAGGAACCTTATGGATGCAGTGACCAGGAATTGAGCTCAACTCAAATGCGTCTTTACTGTTTAGTTTTCATGACTGCTTCCTTGGGGAGGGCCACGGTCTTGCAGGGTTTCACATCCTCCTTTTAGCTCAAATGTTCCTTGTTTTTCCCTTCCTCTTATTAGTCCTGCCCAGTGACGAAACCTGACATGCTCAATGTTCACCTTATCCCTCACACGCATGACGATGTGGGTTGGCTGAAGACAGTGGACCAGTACTTCTTTGGAGGTGAGTTGAAGCCGCCATATGAACTAGCAGGAGGAGCCTTGTATCAAGATCCAGCAAAGCCCTGGAAAGGAAAAGAAGGTTTTGTGGTTTAAGTTAGTGCCAGCCTTTCCTGCTGTGCCTTGGAATTTGGTGCTGAAGTTGTAACTGCTGATCAAATCCAGTAAAAATTGCATCTTCAAATTGCCTTCCCTGTTTAAAGTAAGCAAATGATCCTAAAGGAACTGAAGATCTTCAGATATTTTGATCTTCAGCTCCCATTCGTGAGCTGCTGTAAAAGGTAGTAGACATTATGAGATGTCTTAATTCTGTGTTTGAAGAAAATACTGGTATGAAAGAAGCAAAACCTGACTTGTTTTATCAGCTGCCTTAAAAAATAAAAGTAATTCCTAGCAGATAGCAACTCTCACTGTTTTGTATACTGTTTTCTATTTAATCTTTTACAGCACTCTTTTCTCAATAGACATCGGGAGACCAAGGTTCAAAAATCAGGAGCATCTCCAAGACTATGTGGAGAATTCATGATTGAGGGGCATTTTTTAACCAGGAGGGCCTTCTGCTTTTAGCTATAAGGGCAGCCAGGGCCGCTGGCTCTCTGCTGCAGTCTCCTGCCCAGCTCTATTTCCCAATTTCCCTTTCCTTGACACGCATTATCTTTCAGCAAAATCACTGAGGCCTTGGCTCCTCCAGACTGCAGCATCCTGTGTGGGTGAGCTTTTCACTCTGCCTTCCAAGGCAAGAACAGAGTCATGGAAACAGAAAGTTTCCAATGACACATATTGTCCTTTAGTCACAGGTAGTGGTAATGTACAAAGTCCCAGGTGGGAATATTTAGCAGCTTTTCTGAAGGTCATGTCTTTGTATTTTCATGAAATTCTCATTGCCAGCCAGCAAGGCCAGTTATTGTGTTGATTGGGACGGCAAAGCAGCACAAGGCCAGGAAGGTGGCTTTGTGGCTGATGGTGGGTGCAGGTGCAATGAAGCCAGGCTTTCTTTCAGAAACAGGAAATACTGTAGACCTGTGATTATGACAAGTGAAGACCCAGCCTTCCTCTGCTTCTTGCCTTGCAGTACGCAATGACATCCAACATGCCGGGGTGCAGTACATCCTTGACTCTGTCATTCCTCAACTGCTGGCTGACCCCAGCAAGCGGTTCATCTATGTGGAAGTGGTATTCTTTGCTCGCTGGTGGGGGCTGCAAACGGAAGCCATGCGCCAGGCTGTGCGGCAGCTGGTTGCAGAAGGTGAGCAAGAGGGACTCAGCACTTGTTCGATCAATTGTTGACTTCCCCGAGTCACATGTGACATGGGCCCATATATCACGAGAAGGATGTCTTGGGCAGAAGCAGGGAACTCAAGGGAACAGCAGAGGATCCCCACCCCACCCCTGGGGATTATACCGATACAATGACAAGCTGAAAGTTTCTGCTGCTTTGCAGTGTAGGTTTCTAGTTCTGCCATATTTTGATCATTTCTGTTTTTCTTTCTGTGTTTCTCACTCCTTGATAGGCCGCCTGGAGTTCGTGAACGGTGGTTGGTGCATGAACGATGAGGCATCAGTGCATTACAGTGCTGTCATTGATCAGATGAGTCTCGGGCTCCAGTTCCTGAAAGAGACGTTTGGAGAATGTGCCCGACCCCGCGTAGCCTGGCACATTGATCCTTTTGGGCACAGTCGGGAGCAGGCTTCTCTCTTTGCTCAGGTCTTGCAAACTTCTACAGTTGCCAGAATTTTTAACTCTTATCCACTCCCCTTTCATTCCAAGTGTGTGGATATGTAAGACCTCTGTAAATTATCAATTATCCTATGTGTTGGGATCTCCCAGTTCATTTAATATCCCCTTCTCCAAGTTCAGGTTACTTATATTTCCTCACTTGCCATTTTCCTCAGATGGGCTATGATGGTTTCTTCTTGGGCCGTATTGATTACCAGGATAAATCCCACCGGGAGTCACTGCGTGAAATGGAGCAGTTGTGGCGTGCAAGCAGAAACTTGGATCCACCTGCGGCTGATCTCTTCACTGGTGAGCATGGTTGACCTGGAAGAGATCTGGAAATGTAGAAGACTTAAGTTGCAACCTTGCCAATGTAATTAGCTGCCCATTCAATTAAGAAACAGCAAATGATGACTAATACCATCAACAACCTGGTGTTCTGCAGATATTTTTGCTCACAAGGCAACAATTGATGGGCATTTGGGAATTGGCCTTAAATTTTGGCCGAGGACTTGGTTGCCTACCAGGGCACATACATTAATTTCAGTGGCCCAAGTAACAGAACTGTATGTGAATTGACAGTGTCAATTTTATATATGTCCTAATGGACCTGAGCATAGGTTAGCATGACTCCTACGTCTATATTATTGCCTGGGTTGCATCAGTTTTTGAAGGGCAGATCATCTATATGGAAGAAATGCATATAGACATGTGAAAAAGTAAGACATATAAGTATATGCCCCATGCTGAACTGCTGTCTTTGGTTTTTTTACCAAATATATCTTCTGATTATATGGCCAAAACTTTTATCTTGTTTGACCAGAGGTTCTGGTCTGTTGGACATGTGATAAACTTATGGGGTTCTTAACTTCTATCTGTGCCTTTCATTCTGCTCTTGCGCTGAACCATCTGTAGAACTAGGACCTCAGCAAATGGACAGTTGTAGGCAGTCTTCACTTCTTGATGATCTTCTGGATAACAGAATGGTAGATGTTCAATTGGTTGGTGATCTTTTAAAATCCCTCATAGGCATCTCTAATCTTTTTTCCAAAGGCCTCTGGGTGCTGTTTTGCTCAAAATCTAGTTGGATCATGCACTTCAACAGCAAAGAGCAAATCAGTCTAAATATCTGAGGTTTTAAAAAAGCAGGTTCCTTCCAGATCCTCTCTAACAATGCTCTGATCATTTGCACCTGATCTGATGTATATGGTTCTAAGTTTAGGAATTTGGAGTATTGATAAAATTATGGGCGTACTTATTTTTTCCACATTCGAAATTATGTTTATTACAAAATGGACTACAACGCATAAATATTGTAGTACATATTCGTTATTTTACATTCCCTTTATATATCAGTCTTGGTGAAATGAAGTTCAAATATATTTATGTTGAACTATGTTGAAAAAAAAATGGAGATGTACTTACTTTTTCACATCCCGCACATGATAGCTGTATTCACCAATCTGAAGCATTCCAGATGTGCTGTGTTGAAATTTTCCCATAGGATCTGATTTCTTTTCCAACTGTTGGTAGATGGAGGAGGGGTTCATCAAAAGCATGGGACTACATCAGCTGTAACCACTGATTGTGGGTCATGCTGGCCTAGGCTTATAGCAGTACAGTCTCACTCATCTGAAGGAAATCAAGTCGGTGTAGAATATTGGTCCTTTGCTGCCTCGTTATTGTGTTTTTAACAATTGGGGCATGGAAATTGATTCCTGGAATGTAACTTTCCCCTCTCATTTCTCCTGTCTCTTGATAGGTATCCTGCCAAATGGTTATAACCCCCCTATGTCTCTCTGCTGGGATCAGATCTGCTCCGACAATCCTATCGTGGACGATGACAGTGATGAGAACAATGTGGAAAATATAGTGGCCTATTTTCTGGGAACTGCAGCTGTCCAGGTGAAAACAAGGGGTGATATCAGGGAAGATATCCATATTTGGGAGTAAAACTAAGCTACATGTGAACTCTTGATCACTTCTAAAGATGTTATTGAGAAGTGGCCATATATTATAGCAAAGTGCTGAATCAAAGTATTTCCACTAGATCAGATGACTACTATAAACTCACTAGGAAACCTTAAGCTATCTGCCGTTCCTTGTTTCCTCCTCATCACATCTGCAATAATGAATTTTTCCCCTAGATTCTTAGGCACTAGAGGCGTTTGAGCATCATCTGCTTGTTGCATAACAATATTCCTGGGGATAGGAGGGGAGCGGCTATGTGACAAATAGACCTGCTTACTACTTTTCAATGTTCTCTTCAGGCCAAACACTATCGCACAAACCATATTGTCATGACAATGGGATCTGATTTCCAGTATGAGAACGCCCTGCTGTGGTACAAGAACATGGACAAGTTGATCTATCATGTTAATGCACAGGTACCCTGGGGTGGAGTATCGGCCTGTCTTTTTGGAAAGAGATACTTTACCCAACACGAGGCCTCAGAGTTTGAGGCTCCACTAATTTAGATGGGAAGGAATACAAGAGAATTAGGCCTTCTGAGGGATTTTGTGGCACAAGTTGGAACCACACTAGTTTCTGTCTCTGGTTGATGTAGTTCACAGAGAGGCATACAAAAAGATGCCCAGAATTTTTGAGCGGGGGGGGGGGTTTGATAAATTTGCCAAGAGGAAATGCAAATAAACATGTTTCTTTCCTTGGAATATGATCTTCCAGCAACTGAAGGGCAGCCATGTCAATGTATTCTACTCAACTCCAAGCTGCTATCTTTGGGAGCTGAACAAAGCCAACATGACATGGTGAGAGGACTGAGACAGGCTGGCTAGTAGGCTGACTAGTATTCAGAGCTGTTCATTGCAGTAGGATTGTTTTCAGAGGTGCTGTCTTTGCCACTCTCTTGCCTGAGCAGGTGCTTAATTTGGATCCTTCCTTTAAGCTATCCTCTCAATGTTAGCAAAAGAACCTGGGATTGCTAAGTGGTAAAAGCAGATGTTTGATGGGCCCAGCAGGCAGCCTTAGCATATGAGAGGCATTTCTGCTTAGTTTCATTCAACCTCCTTTGTTTCTTGTGAACTATCATGCTTGATCTATCCATCTCCTGATCTATTATGCTTCCTCTTTGCCTTGGCCATGTTGGAACTGTGAAATCATAGCACTTCTGACAAAACAGCAGAAAAGTTTAGTAGTCCCCTTGAAGGCAAACTCTTGGTTTGTCCCTACTTCAGGCATTTACAAGAGGGGGGGGTGAAGAAAGACTCATTTTCCTGCAACTGTCATGAAATAATCGAGAAGTGGAAATCCTTTGTCACAGATTGAATCTTCCCTACAGAGTTAGAAGTTAGATTAAGGACAGGTAGCATAACCTCCCTTTGATTTAGGATCACAGTTTACCAAAGTAGCTTCTGCTAATGGCAATGCTTTTGGATTTGGGGAATAATAATTGAAATCTTAAAATATTTGAAAGGTAAAAGTTGCCTACTTTTACTCTAGATCTGGGTTAATCTGCATATCTTTGGCTTGGTTTTAAAAAATCCTTCTAGTTTATTGTTTTTTTAATTGCACAGTATATAAGTGATTGTATAAATCGAAAATGAAAATGAAATAAAACAGTTTTCAAGGGAAAAAAAATCCTTCTAGTTCCACAGTGTACACTTGAAAGAGAGTAAAATCAGTTTCTACATCCATATAATTTTATTTACCCATCCAATGTCATCCTAATAATTATTAATTTCCATATCACAAAAGGGAAAAATAATACTAAGAAACACATTATGTCTTTCAAACTTTTTTCTGTCTTAAGTATCAAGATAAAAAAAAACATCACTGAAGATGGATTTCACTCAGGTGATGTTGCTGCTTGTTTAGTATAGTATGGCCTTTATTGTCATTGTACATCATTTTGAAACTAGGAGAAGGTTGACATTCCACATCCAAAAATGGATTTTGGTTAACTGATCTTATTTTGAACAGGTCTATAAAATATGATGACTTCTTCCCATATGCCGATGGTCCCCATCAGTTCTGGACAGGCTACTTCACCAGCCGACCAGCTTTTAAACGCTACGAACGCCTCAGTAACAACTTCCTTCAAGTTGGTAGCCTTCATGTTTTCTAAATAAAATGTATCCTGGTGGTTTGTGGTTCTTTGATTCAGTGGTTTTGTTTTGTTTTGTTTGCAGATCTGCAACCAGTTGGAAGTGCTAGTTGGCACAAAAGCAAATTTCGGGCCTTACGGCAACGCTAATAGTTCTGTGCTGCGTATGTATGTGTGCTCCTTGAGAGTTGACTGGGGCTTTCACCTTGAGATTTTATTAAGAGAGTGACTATGGTGGCAGTTGCCATGAGAACCATCAGATCAATTAGGAAGAGATGTTCTGGCCAATGGCACCTTGGTTAGAGGTAGAAGCCAAGAATAAAAACAATGGCCATTCAGACAGCACCATAGTCTCTAAAGGTAAAGGTAAAGGTTCCCTTGCACATACTGTATGTGCTAGTCATTCCCAACTCTAGGGGGTGGTGCTCATCTCCATTTCAAAGCTGAAGAGCCAGCTCTGTCCGAAGACATCTCCATGGTCATGTGGCCGGCATGACTTAATGCCAAAAGTGCACAGAGTGCTGTTACCTTCTCACCAAAGGTAGTTCCTATTTTTCTACTTGCATTTTTCACGTGCTTTTGAACTACTAGGTTGGCAGAAGCTGGGACAAGTAACAGGAGTTCACTCTGTTATGCGGAGCTAAGGATTCGAACTGCCAACCTTTCTAATCGACATGCTCAACGTCTTAGCCACTGAGCCACCATGTCTATAGCCTCTAGGGACCCCATTGTTTTACTATGTGATACCTGTGGTCTTTTTCTTATAGGCCAAGCTATGGCAGTCGCTCAGCATCATGATGCAGTGAGTGGCACAGCAAAGCAGCATGTGACCAATGACTATGCCAAACAGTTGTCTATTGGTTGGGATACCTGCCAGGTTTGTGCATGAACCAGCAACATCCCCCCCCCCCATTTCTCTCCCACCACGTATGTATGGGCACAAGCATCACTGCAGCTCTTGGACAACATGATACAAAAAGAAGTAAAAGCACTTTCTCTGGCTGTAAAAATGTTTCTTGATTTTCACATGTCGTAACAGCAAGGGCTGAGATCCTTTGACTGATTTGGGGCATATATACATAGCTAGACTGCATTCCCTTTATTGTGATAGCCACCGAATGTTGCTTAAAGGAGTCTTCCTCTTTTCTTTCATGTTCGTCTATCCTGTAATCTTGCCATGAGATCTTCCTATATGCAATTGATTCCAAAGGGGGCATATTTATGAGATATCAGAGCTATTTTTGGCAGTGGACATTTACTTGGTTTTTGTTGCCTAACTTTGCCCATGATGACCTAGAGGGAAATGCAAAAGCCACTTTTAGTTTTCTTCTTGTCAATGTTTGCTTTACTCTTGAAGTGGCTTTGAATCCAAGACTTTGCATAAGACCTTCACTGATTCTCCCCCAGTGGTGCTTCTTATACGCTCACAACTTTCTGGCGGGAGTAGAGAACTTAACTCCTGTTTTTTTTCCCCCCTGTCTTGGCAGATTGTGATGAACAATGCCCTTGCCAATCTTCTTGGCAGCACAGAAAACTTCATCTATTGCACCTACCTCAACATCAGTGCCTGCCCATTAACCGAAGCTACCCCAGCTGTAAGGGACCATCCATTTTCTCATCTTTCATTTTGTGCAAGACTTGAAATCTGGAGCTTCCCAGATCACTGCTCTGTCTTAAGGACTCTGCTTGGGTTCTAGAGAGCATGGAGTTGATAAATTGGGATGGTATATAAGTTATATAATGGTATATATATATGTTCTGTTAATTAATTAATTAATTAATTAATTAATAACCAGGCTCCTTAGCATCTGCTGTTAGGTCTTCCTTTGCTCAACATATTTCTTCACTATCTTTGCAGTTCAGAGTGATCATCTATAACCCTCTGGCCCGTTCTGTGGATTGGAATGTCCGACTGCCTGTAAACGGAAACCATTATTCGGTTGTAGCTCCTGACGGTCAGAATATTTTGAATGAGGTAAGAGGTGTTGGTTTGGAGAGCTTTAGGCATTACTGTGAATTCCGGTGGGCCATCCTCCTAATCCCCAGGTGTTGCATGGAAGCCACTAACAAAGGTCAATTAGTGGAACTCTTTAAGGCTCCACAAGAAAGTATTTATGAGCCAACGGCTTGCTCATCATCACAGTGTCTTTAGTGTCTTAGTCATTTATCTGTCAAAATGGTTACACAACTAGCCCTGATTTGTTAAAATGTTTATCAACAAGCCCTGGTGGCGCAGGGGTTAAAATGCAGTATTACAGGCAAACTCTGCCCACTGGCAGGAATTCGATTCTGATCGCCTCAAGGTTGATTCAGTCTTTCATCCTTCCAAGGTCAGTAAAATGAGGAGTCAGATTATTAGGGACAATGCGCTGATATTGCAATTGCGCAGAGTGCTATATTTGTGTTAGAAGCGCCTACAAAACCAACTGATCAATTGAGAATATTAATTTTTATGGGTTAGACAAAGTCTTGCCTGCATACTCTTCTCTGCTGGTTAAAGTGTTAATCTATCTTTGTGTAAATTAAAGCCTTGGAGAAAGTCCTGTAATATCCTTGAGAGATCCAGGCTCCTGTTGCTCCAGGGAGTGAAAGGAAATGCATGCCAAATTATTCTGCTCTGAACAAGGTTGGGGTGAGTGGGAGGGTTTATTCTGGGTTAACCCTGAATTGTTGATAATCAATTTCTTATCAATTTATCTTATAAAAAACCCAATCTTACTTTTTCCTTGCCAGCTTATCCCTGTATCAAGTTTCACCCGTGCCGTGCGGCATAACCGAGGCAATGCCATCAATGAACTGGTATTCCAGGCATCTCTCCCACCATTAGGCTACAGAACCTATTCCATTTCCCGGTTGTCTGGCAGGGATTCAGCACGTCCCAGGCTGCTGAAAAGACTGCGTCCTCAGCAGGCTGGAGCCCATTTTACACCGTTGATTGAGAATGAGGTACAGGCTGATCTTCCCTTTTTCATTTGGTTAGTGTGTTTTTCCTGCACTAGGGAAGTGAGGCTGAAACAGTTCTTAAAGTAAAATCAAGAGAGATACCAAAAATTATCTTGTCAAATATTAGATAGTGAATAAAAAGAGATGCTCAAAATGTTCCTATTCTAGAGATAAGAAAGTGGCAAAAAAAAGTTTTTGAAAATGAACTTCCTGGATCCTCATTTGTTGCTATTCAGACTAAAAATCCAAACAGCTGTTCTTGATGGTGACTCTGATATAGTATTTTTGGTATGTTTCTGCTCCAGCATCTGCAAGTTCTATTTGACCCCAACACAGGACTGATGAAGGAGATCCGAAATTTGGACAAGAACATCTCCCTACCACTTTTCCAAAGCTTCCTCTGGTGGGTCGGATTACTTTGTGCTTGGACAAGTGAATGTCTGCTTTGCTTCCTATGGTGGCTAGTGGTAGATGCATTTTTAGGATGGCTTGGCATTCCTTATCCTCTGCTGGGATTAGTTAATGAGTTCTTGGTCTTCATGTCCTTCTCTTGGCTGACTTCTCCAGGTATAATGCCAGTGTTGGAGATGCATCATATTCACAGGCGTCTGGAGCCTATATCTTCCGTCCTGACACCTCCAAGGCTTTCCCCATTGCCCAGAAAGTTGGTGTATATCAAATAAAGGTAGGAAACGTTCAGAGTCATCTGCTTCAAATTGATCTGTGCGCCCAGTGATCCAGGAGGTTAAGTCCTGCTGAGGATCCCATCCCCAAGAGTTTTGACCTGCATTGATTCTGTGGTTGGTATTTATCATAGGAGCTACCATCAACCACTGCTGTGAAGTAGCTGCCTCTACTGAGTTTCTGTAGAACTATAGAAATGTAGCTCTGATAGAATATTGGAGCTGGTCTGTGACTGTAATAAAGATTAATGGATTGGTTGGGGAGTGATAAATTCAGACTTGCCCTCGATGGGTTGTACCATTATTGCATTTTTTAGTGCTTGCCACTCAAAGCCAGTTGCAATGGAGCAACATAAAAAAAAACAAAGTTACCGTATATACTCGAGTATAGGCCGACCCGAATATAAGCCGAGGCACCTAATTTTACCACAAAAAACTGGAAAAGTTATTGACTCGAG